TTCTATTATTCCCATAAATTCTGGAGCAAAATTAAATCAAATCTTCTCATGATTGCTGGAGAGAAGACCATACATAATATGAGCATCGCGCAACTCAGTTATAATGATTGTGACTATAGTTCTGGTGACATGACCAAACAAACCCATGGCATATATGCCATCCAGTTCTAGGTCAAAAGATGCATAGCTGTTTATGTAAATTCTCATCATTCATTGCCAGTAATCTTCGACCAAATTAACCATAATTCTAAAGTTATGGGATGAATTTCTAAGAATAAAAATTAAGACTGTCAATTTCTCAACAATAAAGACAGTGCAAGAAAATTACACGAAACACACACACACACAAATACACGCGGACATACATATATATATATATACATCGTTTTGACAGGGAGAAGGATCAGGCCAACTCAATTGTGCAGATAATCTGAAAAGTGGCAAAATTTTTTGAAAAGTAAGAAAAAAGTTGTAAAATGAACGGACAAAACATCGTCTTTTTCTTCTGCTCCCTTTCACTACGATCGTTTTATACGTTCACTGTGAATGCAAACAGTTCAATATTTCAAGGTCGGATCATCTACAAAAAAACAGGTAAATTCAACAGAAATAGATTTATCCAAATAAGTAAATAAATAATTGGAGATCTGGATGGAAATTAACTGAAAATAAATATTAAAGAAGCAAAGGTATTACTAGTCACTAAATCTTAACCCTGATAGATAATTAAACAATTAAATAGTCGTACCTCCTACCTAATTAAGAATAATTGAATTTGAAATGCAAAAACTTTATTCCACGTAAGGATATATTGTCGAGGTTTCAGAGTAACTGTTTATATCCACCGTGTGAAACATACGACATTCATCATAGTTAGTTTGTTAAAATCATCGGAATTCATCAAAAAGAAATAATTTAATTACAACAATTATCATTTATTAGCAATTTTATTAATTGCCAGCATCAACACCTGCTAATTATTAACAATTAATAACACTCACAGAATACCAAAGTCTAGATTATCCAATTAATTATGAGTCCATCCAGCGAAACCATGCATAAAACGTGTTGTCCCTGAAGTGAATATATCATCAGTGCAAGGACAATTGAACGTATATATGGCTGGCTCCGATATTCTTCATTATTATAGTAGAGGTTTTTTTTTTCCCACTCGCAAAATTACCCCGTTAATAAGACAAAAATAATTATGATATTGAAGGGGGTAAAAGGGAATGCACTTGCAATGAATCCAATGACTTGAGGGCTTTTCAAAAGAATGAGGTAAAGCAGTTTAAGCTCTCAAACTTCCCTGAACTGCTATTTATGATTAATTCCTAACAAGGCTATAAGTTCGTCAAAATGTCATAACACTTATTGATCTTCTAAAAGCACTTCTTTTTTCCATCAAAGTCTTCATTTTTTGTTTCCCTTTTCTACATCATCTCCTTGCCGCTATTTTGCATCTGCAAGCATTACAGCTAATAGGACCGGTGGGAATTTAAATTGCGGGAAAGTCTCTCAAATCTCGTCTGTCGCTTGCTTCTACTTTATTTTTGCTTTTCAGGACATTAGTACTATTGATTGTTAATAGTTAAAAGGACATGAAAAGCACTTTGAAATTTCGAAAATATAAATACTACAATATGAAATGTTTTGTTGACAACATTCCATGGGAACATAGAAAGAGATAACTGCTGATTATTCCTCTCATGTGATAGCTAAAAACAGCAAAGGTTGAAAATACCTATTAAAATACAGCATAAATACTACAATATGAAATAAGACATAAATACTACAATATGAAATAATATTTTACCGTTAAGCGGTTAGTATCAAAATACAAAGATTACATGAATTTGCGCAAATTATGAAGCATTTTTGGGATTGCTTAGTTGGTATAAGCGAAATGATAAGGCTAAAATAGAACTAGAATGATAATGATCAGAGATTACGGCTGTGAGGATGATAAGTCTGGAATCATGCTTTTTTCAAACTACTTTTAACACACACATATATGCTTACATACTTTTTATTTAAATACACAAACAAGGCTTGATTTGGACTAGTCTATCCATTGATAGACTAATCTAAACCTAGTCTTGGTCCTATCACGCGAAGTGAACTCATTACCGCATCAATTATATATATATATATATTCCTACTCGTACATGAAATATACGAATGCAATGCTACCTGCCTGTCTTTTGAACATTTGCTTCTCCTCTGTCCTTCCATCAGTGTCTCCTATCCAAATCCGGTCGCTGTCTGATCGATAGCCTTTCTCTCCTCTCGTCCCATCTGCCATATCAATCGCCTCCTACACGCCTACTCTTATATGAAATATCTACGGGAAATAATTTGCAGGGAACAGCTGTTGATTGAGAGCTATAGCGGGATATGCCAGCAAAATAGTTGACATCCATTGTTGTTGTTGTTGATAACAATCAAATGTTATTATTATTAAAATGGGACAAAATGTTGGCGTAAAACCAATTTGGAAGCTTTGCAACAAAAAAAAAATGTACAACAAAGTTAATAATGCCTTGCTTTGAAACATAAAATCATTGTTATACTGTGGTCTATTTATGCCATCTGTTGACTACCTTCATTCCCATTAGCTTAGTATGATGTGTGGATCTTTCTCAATGTATCATTTTACCTGCAAGGAATCAAGTTACGATGAAATTATTTGATCAGATAAAATGTCCTTCATACCAAAAAAGATATTTTTTCTCTATTAGATATAATAAATTTCTCCATTAAATAAAATCAAAAAATTTTTCTATTAAATAAAATAAAAAGCAGTAGTTGAAAGGAAGGATACGTGCGATACGCCATTCCTTTACCTACATTTAATGCTTGAAAAATCATTTCAAATGTGAAGGAAATTTTTTTTTTAGTAATATGCTCATGTAGTTACGAGTAGATAAAGGGGAAGGAGTAGTTCACTAGAGAATATCAATCTCCAAACTATAACCTTCATTATCAATAGAGGGGAAAATAGAAGGAAAGAAGGAAAGGAGAAGAGAGGGAATCAATCAATTTATGGGGTAAGAAATGGAAAACGGACAGGATGGCTAATTTAGTTCGGATGAACTGATGGATGAATGAGTTATTTACTCTAGGTTTTGACTAGCCGGACATATCTTTGCCTAGCTTGGAACTTCATTAAGAGGAAGAGAATACTTCATTAGTTGAGTCCAGTTCCCATGCAAAAAAAAGGTGAAAGGATAGTTTTAGTAGGCAATTCAATGGCTACTGCTTAATCGTTAAATTCCCTTCTTCCTGAATATGTATCCCACAAAGTCTGCTTGATTTATCCAAATTTCACTCCTTCAATTTCCTGTGAAATACATCGCACCGAACGTTTCTATATTTCTTACTTGCTGAAACTGATAAAGTGATATTACTTAGGTCAGATTTTATCGAAAATAATCATAATTATGGAGAATGCTATTGTGGTCAGAAGAAAAAATCTTTGATGACTATCAAGGAAGGTCAGAAAAATCTTTCGATCAAAACTAATGGACAGTAATAGTATTCATGCAATAAATTTATGGACAGTTTCATTAATTCGATACCGCTCAGATATTATTAATTCGTTTGATCTCAAAACTAAAAAAAAAAAAGATTCTGACAAGAAATCATTCTAGTAGTCATCTCAATGACTATTTCAAACAAATGATAATAGATTAATTGTTAATGAAGAAGTGACAATATCCAGGAAAGAAAAAGTCAAATTTGCAAAAGAAAATCGTAATTAGAGCTAGCAGAAAGGAAAGGGTGTTAATTAGTCGAGAAAGGATGTTAATTAGACGACTGATAAATTGACCGATCGAGTGATCAAAACAGTTACATTACATGGGCATGTTTAAAAATTACTGATAGTAATAAAAGTAAACAGGGAGAAGAAACAGGTTATGAGGTGTAGGAGAAATAGCACAAATTACAGCAAGGCATCAATTGAGAAATGATGATCGATGTGATGTATTGACTAACCAAACCATTGATCATCGTATCTAAACCATTTCAGTTGATTTATAAACAATCGAAATGCTTCTATGGTATATACATCCTAAGGTCGTCACGAGTTTGTACAAATAGCATTTGTGCGAAATGAAGATAGCAGTAATATAAACCAGGTGGCATAATGGAGAAAGTGTAAAGTATTTTAGGACTTCAAGATATAAACTGACAAGAAATTAGTTTAAAGAAAAAAAACAAATAAACTGAAATTGATAGTGATACCTCGGATATTGCCCAATAATTATCAGTTTGATTGTGTGGTTAAAGATGAAATTATCAATTTAACTGATATTTCATACCAGAAGGTAATGTGAATCTAATATGGAAAGATTGCTAAAAAAAGAAAAAAACACCAGGACTTGATGCTCTGGAAAGAAGAGTGATAATATCCTATGGCTATCTTGGAATGATTTGAAGAGAAGAAATTCAATTGTGGAAGAAAAACAACTTACTAAGAATGTACTAGAAATATATCTCAGTAATTTTTATGACATAAGCAAAGATTTGCAAAATTGATGGATACTAGTCTTGCTAGAGGGGCATGTTTATAGCTAATTATTTAATTGAAGCTGAATGGCCGAGTCCCAAGTTCCAAATCCCAACTTGAAGATTCGATGAAGCTACACTGGATTTAGTTCGAAACTTTCGAATTCGAACTTTATTGAGGATTACCGAAAAATATGCAGACACGGACGACGAAAAACAAATGCCCATAGAGGTAATGAAAAGAATGTAGGAATTGTCGAGAGAACGACGGCGAGAAAATAGAGTGCGAAGATAGAGAAGACGGGAAATAAAAAGATATTACAATAATGGTCTATATTTTTGGCTAATTAACTCTAAGCCGTCAGACTAGGGTTAATTTTGACGGAGTTGTAGGGGTCATCTGTGGTGGGGTTGTTTGGGTCATCCTTGTTTGCATTGTTTGTTGTTCAGAAATGGTTTCAGATGGCACTTCCAAATAATGCTTACCTTTTCAGGTGTGTGTTCTCTAAAACGAATATCTAGTCAAAAGAGTATGGCAGGATCCGAAACAGGTGAAATAAATAACTTATTTCAAATTGGATATTATTTCTTATCATCAAAATAAGCTTCCCAAGACGACATAATAATGTTCAGCATTAAAGTAAGCATTGAAATCTTCTGGCAACTAAAACTTTAATAACTATGACTAAAAAAACAGAAAGCATATTATTTCATATTATATCATTGCAGTTTATGGTGGAGTTGAAGGGCCAGATGCGATGTACGTGAAGTTAATCAGTAGTGATGGACATGAATTTATTATTAAAAAGGATTTGGCACTAACATCGGGTACAATCAAAGCGATGCTGTCCGGTCCTGGCTCTTATTCTGAAAATGAAACAAACGAAGTTAATTTCAGAGAAATTCCGTAGGTTTATCAATTGATTCTAATAAACAGAGTATCAAGATGGGTACCTGCCGTTCAAGAAAAAGAGAATAGATCATTTGCAATACCGATCTTTAATAAGCTGTATAAACTAAGGTGCCAAATTTTGTCTTACGCTGCATTTTTGTTTTGGTATATTCTCTAGCGGAATATGGTTAAAAGGTTTCTAAAATGACAGCTGAATAACCATTGAATTACAGCTCAGTCTTTTAATCTATATATCATTTTTACTTGTAGGTCACATGTTCTACAGAAAGTATGCCAGTATTTCGCATACAAAGTCCGCTATACAAATAGTGCAACGGAAATACCTGAATTTAGTATAGCTCCTGAAGTAGCTCTCGAACTTTTGATGGCAGCTAATTTTCTGGATTGCTAATCGTCGGCTTTAAGATGCGGTAACTGTTCACCTCAGTTGTCTCCACTTCTTTACGAGCAACATAGTTATTTAGTTTCAAGGAAGAGATACTGTTTTAGAATGACTGAAAATAACTTTCTCCTTTTTTATTTCGTGTTTTTATTTCAAATGATAATGTCTCTGCGCTTCTTGCACTTACTAAACATTTCACTGATTGCATTTGTTCTCTACGCAAACAATATTCGTTAGCTTGCCCTGTACAGTCTTATTTTTTCTTGCATTGGCGATTCTCTGGAGTAATGTTGCAAGCGTTTTCAATAGATAGAATGGAATGATTACAGTTCCTTATTTACGGTGATTTAAATTTAAGTGCCAAGCTTGCTTACCGTTCGGAGAAGTTTTAACGACTTTTCACCCAAGATTTCTTGAAATCTCACTTCCTTATCTCTTAATTTATATTGCAGTACTTTGCATGTCTCTTTATTATAATCTTTGGAAGAGAAAGGAGACACGAAATTTGATGAAAAGGTTTGCTTCATCAACTAGTAGAATCATGTGGATATGTTTTTCTTAGTACTCCTGTTGCTTACGTTCCAGTTATCAATGAGTTATCAGTAAAAAAGTGATTGCGATATATATGTTTCATTTTTGTCATAGGAGGAAGAATCGCAGGAAAATTCGACTGATATCTTTCACGCATGTAAATGATAAAGTTGTATTATGAAGATGGTGATTTTTACATTTCAGTATATTTCAGTATCTGGTACTTGACATCCTTTCTGATTTACGACCATGTTACCTGCATGAATTTGATTAAGCATTTAATTTGAAGATTCGACCATTTGACATGCATTTCTCAGTTATGATAGAAAATTACACTTATATCAGAGGTTTCTGTGTCACAGGTTCGTGTCTGGCTTCTTGTTACTTTCTTGTTACCTTTTAGGACAAAGCATGAAACCTTCGCTTTCAAAAATTGAGATCTAATGGGTGTCCTGTATAAGCCTTTGCTGTATACTGCTTTTAAGTGACAAATAAGTAGGAAGCGTAGTTTTGGTCCTTTATCAGTCGATTATCAATATCTTGGTAATTAATTGGTTAAACAACCAATTAAAAAAATGGACATAATCATTGAGAGCATGAATATGAAGATAAGAATAATTGCCGTAAGTGACCAGCCACATTTATCTGTTTGTTTCAAAAGAAAGGAAATATTTTGAGAGAGAGAGCATTCAAAATTTTTCTTTATTTGTTATTTTTCTTCAGAAAAGCTTCCTTGTGCACAAACCGAGAAAAGATTCATTCGCTCTCAATCTGAGCAACAATGTATCGGTATGAGTTAAGTCAGGGTAATAGTAAGAGTTGCTCTCAACTTATGGACTAATTGGTCACTCTATAAATGATTATACAGTTATGAAATGATGGAGGAATCAGTAATGACTGCGTTATTGTCTCTAATTGATATTGAATTGTTTCTGGTCTATGATCAGCAGTATTCCCCAGTTCATGAATCATTTCCCCTGACCTTAAGTCTCCTTATTATCGTCCGTCTACTTTTTATGCTGTTTGTTCAGCTGCAAACGAATCAAATCACATTCTATTGCAGAGGATAGAAAAAAAAAAAGTTTATCCAGGAATTATGTAGTATTGGTACTTTTTTAATTAGACAGTATAATTAAAATATAGCAAACGTTAACTTAATATAAAATATAAGTCAAATCAATGATCACAGCTCTTTTAATCTTAATCCCGTAGAAATAGCCGATTTATCTAAAAAATCACAAGTGGAGAAAAAAACCTAAACATGCTCAACGCCTGCCACGTGTGTCAACGGAAATTCTGCGAACGAATGCGTGCAAGATACGAAAATTGTAACCGAACGTGTAAAATCAAGTAAGCTCTCGAAAAAAAAATCCTTCCCCAAGGAACTAAAAGGAATTTCCGGAGAACAAATGAACAGACCATCAAGTCCGCGCCATACCTTTAATCTTTATACCATCTTGATTTTCATTAATTATGCTTTCTACACATACACCCTTATCTGCTTTCCTCTCAGGTAATGGGGAAGTGTAATCGTAATGCAACTTACATGCTTTGATAATGAGGAGTGGACGACATTTTCCAATATTTATTTTTGCAACGGATAGAAATCTTTTAAGTAAAACGGACTTTATATAACCAAATAAAAAACACGGCAATTCAAGCAGAGTGCATAAAGAATAATCAAATAATAACCGTATTATCTTATAAAATCAAATAAAAACATAGAAATCGCTTACAAAAAGGACTAATTATACTGAAACTGATACATGCAAAGGAAAAAATGAAGTACAAGCGAAACGGCCAAGTTATTGCCTGCAAATCTGCCACGGCAATGGTGACTGATACATGGGATACTTCACAACTAGCTGATGAGGAAAAAGAAAGACAAAAGCGTATCTTCAACACTTACTTCACCACAGATGTATCCAGGTATGAAGATCAATGCAAAAGTTAACAGTTAGGTATTGAACTCAGAAGTGCGAATCGTCCATTAACTCCATGACCCTCCCCCACCAACATTTCCTGCTTTCTTCTATTTCGATCGCACTGTCTTCGTATGATTAGCAGTCTTTATAACCAATAAAAAAACAAATTTTTCAAGCCTTTCGTTAGTGGTAAAGGGTATTTTTCAGTTTCTCGAATCTACTGATACAACAAGATGCCTTCGGTTAAATCTTTGAATGCTAGATGTCCGGAATCAAAAAAAAAACAAAGTACTGCTACAAAATGCAAAATGCAAAAAAAAAAAAGAAAAAAACCTAATTGAAAAAAGAATGGCTGGAATGGTTGCAAAAGAAAGTGGTGATGCAAGAGTTATGCTTAGAAAAGAAGTCAAAGCAATATTATAACAAATAGCTGAAATGAAATCTGAAATGTAGTGGAAAATTTGCTTCTTCCAAGAATGACAACAATACATCGAAATGTGAGAATGGAAGACTGGAAATAAATAACGCAGCAGAATAAGAAAACGGTGACAACTGCGTGAGCCGACCAAAAAGAAGAGGATTTACTAGTCTGTGAAAACCTCTAGAGGACGGAATTTCAGATCATGAAAAGATGCAAAACTTTCAAGATTCTGTGTGAAAAATTTAAAAAAAAGCACTCATAAGTTCATGATTCCGATGAAAGTGAAATGTTCTTTCGTAAGCGATGAAAACACCAATTCAAAATTTTTAGTATCCAGAATCCATTAAATATTGCGCAAGTTTCTCAACTGCTACACGTACCTCTGCTGCATTTTCTCCCTTATAGCAAGCAATCAGCACAGCTGAAAAATTACATTGAAACAATATTGCATGAATACATTGATATTGTGTCCCTAGTACAGCTAGGATACTACGTAGACGGAGTATTGAAAAACGCTATGCATAATTACTTCGATCTTGGAGCATAGATTATCCACATAGCAATTATAATAAACGGTATGACAAGACAAACAAAAGACCTGATTTAGTTTTAGCTGCAAATATTCCAGTTTTATCGCGTTTACCAAAAATGAGATTCTGTTCCGTCCGTGGCACTATATAATGCACACCTACAACTGGATGACTCAAAATCGATTCATTCCGAAAATTTAATGAATAAACGATTTTATAAATCTGAAGGTTTATATTAGGATCTCACCCCCTATCTTTCCTCCTATTTTCCCTTATCATAAAATGTTTCGGCTCATCAGCTTCCCTGAAAATACTTCACTTACAGAAATGCTTTTCCATGTTCTTCTTTCAAAAATGATTACACCGTAGACCAAACTAGAGTTAAACCGTGATTTAATCGGGACAAATCAAAATGAAATCACCATAAGCCTAAAAAGCAATCAAAAAAGAGTAACATTAATTTGACGAAACTCCCCGACGGTTAAAACTATGTGCCTTCTAGAAGAACAAATCCTTGAGAAGCCATGTTATCATGGAATAATGGATTCCACGAAATCACCAAACAATATAAATTATTTGAGAAGAAATTATACAATAATCACCTTCCAAATCGCAACCAACAGCTGGCACCTTTTCAATATGATCATATAGACTGACAAATTTCTTTAACTCTTCATCTGTTGCCTGCAAAACGTAAACATTATCTAATTATCGCTACACAATGAATATAAATCCTTTAATGCAATATGTTTTGTCATATTAATCTAATGGGACTACCAACTAACATGCATTATGAAAAGCCATCATACTAACATGCAAAAAAAAAATTATCGATTCCTCTATATCATGACTCCACCAACAACTATAACAAATATTAAAAGTGCTAAAAAATTTGAAATTCGATGATTGTCTATAGGATAATTCGAAGCGAATAATACTTTTTGAGTAGCCAATAACTGACAATAGAATTCTATGACATGCAATCAATGTTTTAGTCAGTATTAAAGTATACAATTTAATAAGATGATCTTCCAATTATCCATAACATATTTGCATCAACCAAAACTTGCTGATAAAAAATGACATAACTCTGTGACATCTTGAGCTAGTAAAATAACAGTAAAACACTGCTGTTAAAAAATGATAACAAGAACTGTTACCCGGAATTCACGGTCACCTTCAGACCTTGCCCATACAGAACCGTCTGGATAACCAACAATAGCAGCTCGTTGTATACCTTGACTTGAATCAAGCAGATTCTTGATATAAGCAGCCCAGCCAGACATCCTAAATTATTGATTGGGCGGTCTGAAAAGAAGAAAAGACGAGTCTGTGACAAACAATATGTCGTAAAATTCACTACAACCTTATCTACAACAATGACAGAACAGGAAGTACAGTTGTTAAAGTTTAGTGAAACATGTTGCGGTCAAGATCTTACGCGAATAGTATTCAACAAAAAAAAGAGCTAGTAAACCAGTAACGAGAGAGAGCAAGAAGAGACTAGCACAATCTGACGGAAGCATCCTATCACAACATCGTTTGAAAAGCGGGGTTGCGGATAAATTCTAAGTCAGAAACATCAGGTATATTCATCAGGTAGAATAATCCTAATAAGCCTATAAATTAGGTACAAAAATTTAAGCGACACAAGTGACGACCGAAATCTCACAGAAATAAGATTTAAAACTCTAAATTTCTACAAGTAAAATTTAGAATTTAGAGGTTGTTTAAGTGACAAACTTCATGAATATCAAAGGATACTCTCACTTGAAAATGCTTGAAAATAATCTCAAATATCGATCAATGGCAAGCTGAACATTAGAAGTGAACCACATAACAGAAAGATGGAACAAACAAACCACCCAATCGTCAGAACTGCCTCTCCCGGATCCCCTGAACAACATTTGGCTACACCAACCAACTGCATCAAATTTTCATGTTCCATCTTAATGCTCGTGAAGCCCTTGAAGTCTCGCTATGACATAAATGTATTCCCACTCATTATCGTATTACTTCTACCCGTTTCCTTACGTGCACGTAATAGCATTACGTGAACTTAATGAAGTATGCTTTTTAGCAAATTAATTAATTATAATCATCTCCCAACTTCTCATCCCTCCTTAATTTCTACTTCATTTACACAGCGAAAGAATGTTGATAGAAAGACCGAATATTGTTATGTATGCATATTAAACAGGAAAAATTAGCTGTGATGAGAGCGAAAGGCTTTCGTGATTCCCCCATCTACTGTCTGAACCTCTGAGTCATCCCTAGCATGTATCATCAATGCCCCAACACCCCAGTAGCCAGGGAGAGGGAAGCAAAGCATTGTTCCCGAAAGTTACTGTTAATTCCTTTCTATTCCATAATTTGTAATTTTAACAATGGCAAGCATTATTATGAATCATGATAATGCGAATGATGTAATGATAACGGCAGTAAAAATGGTCTACTGATATCATGAAACTGATAATTATAACAAGCACTGATAATTATAAACGTAATGATAATTACAGTAGTGTTAATTACCAATCCTAATGATAATGACTGTGAAATTGTTACAACGGTAACAATTATTATAACGATATTTATAAATATTGCTGAAGTTATATTATATAATTATCATTATGACAACAATAATAATTACTACTGTATTTCTCGTAACTTGATTTTTCTTCTGAGGTTAACTTTCAGATTTGTGATAATAAGATTCAAGCTATGTGATCCAAAAATTCGGGATAATGATAATCATTATGTTAATAATTTATGATAACGAACACAACATTCCTGAAAGCAAAAAAAAAGGAACGATATTCTTAAAGATATAAAATTCCATAAAGGGAGGAAGAAACACAAAGCAATGTTACTCCTAACTGCTAACAACGGTACAATAGCGGTAATGACAGTGCTATCATGTTGTCAATTGTTGTGATGGTGATAACGACTTCATAACAGTTACATAATAGTGGTAATATTAATTACAACTGAAATTAAGGAAAAATAAATGTAGAGAAGTATCCTAAATCTAAAATTATAAATTAGTGGTTAAGGTAATAAATTGACAAGTATCCAGTAGTAAGAGAAATATTTGGAGAAAAACTGGAGAAGTTGACAACTGGGATGGACTAAATAAGGAGCAATTACACATAAAAACTTCGCTAAGAAATGCATACACCGGAAGGAACTTTCACCCTTAATGAAGATACCTGTAATTGATGAGATTTCAAAACTATGATCAACGAAATCAGTACTTGAAGAATCAGGTAGAAATTAGGTGAACTCCGCAAATAAGGCCTCAACAGTGATTAAAATAGTAATAGTTGATGGATATATATATAAGTTTTTGTCCTCAAAAATATTTGGGTTTAGTTTCCGGTGCAACTAAAATATCATCCCCCTGTCAAAACACATATCTCTGCTTTTCTCATTAACCATTTATTGCACAACTTCCAGTCATCGTCTAAAATCCGGGATATTTTGTTTCGATTGAGATGAATGCAGTTAAAGCAGTCCTAAATTCTGGCGTGAATACAGTATAATATCTCAGGAATATTTGGGTTATCTGGATTGTCTTGTTCGCAATCACCGGATTAATGTTTAGTCACTCCGGCATCGTATGACAGTCGTCGTTTCATTTTTCTCAGTTGGAAAACGGAAATATTTTACCGATTTGAATAAAATCGATTTTTCCTCTTCTCTTAAATATATGTATATGTATAAAAGCAATTCAGAAATGTCTTGAATCAGACGTTACTAGTAAATAATATTGTCACCATCCTTGTCACTAATGGAAGTTTTCTTTATCCCTTCCATCGAAATTACTCATTATGATCGGTCATTAACAATAGTCCCACACAGCGATGGAGTAGACAAGAAAAAGTTTCATTTAACATTATCTGTCACATAATGACAATAATTATTGAAAAAAACACTGATAAGAAGGTCGCTATTTAACATCCAGCATATTGCAGGTAGTTAAAAAGCGGATTACGATATATTTGATGTCGCTGCAGTATAAAGATTAATCAGGATTTGAGATTGAGGTGCAGTAACTGCTTGATAAAAAATTATTGGTGATGAATATTGATTTAGCGCATCCATAAATTTCAACCTGAGCACAACATGGCACCAACACTGGTTGGTATGATTGTCGGAGGCCTAGATAGATAGGGTCGGCGGTAGAGGGCTGTACTTTGACGAGACCAAAATAGCCAAAACGACCCAAATAATTAACCTGTTGGTTATATGATATCCAAACTGCAAAGAAAAAAAACACGAAAATGAAAAAACATTTTACAGATCAGTATGACATAAGTGAAAAAGTAATAAAGAATGAAGTGATGAGATGATTGACACAGCTTACAAAATATGATGATAAATAGATCGATGACACATACATGAGATGATGAACAGATCGATGACATATACATGAGATGATGAAAAGATCGATGACATATACATGAGATGATGAAAAGATCGATGACATATATCATTCAAGGGATATAAATTTGGCAAGGATTTTGCTGAGAACAGATAAGGATGCTTTTTATGATGAATAAATTAAAGGATACTAATAGGCTTAAAAGCTGAGAAACAAAAAGCCTAAAAGGTAAGGCGAGATTGATTAATTATTCGGAATGTAAAGATTGTTTTTTGATGCTGTTAATATAGCAATGTTTTTTTCTTCTTTATATGAAATTTTATTATGACATCTTAATATCGTAATGAAGTGACAAATTTACGAAATAAGCAAAGAAAGATTCTATGGAATAACTTCGCGGATATATCACACGACAACTTTTTTTAGCTACTTCTGGCAATCATGAAAAGCAACCTTGTTAAGTTCACTAAGCAATCAACTGTTAACATCAAGTTCATTAAGCAATCAACTGGTTGACATTAAGTTCATTAAGCAATCAACTGGTTGACATTAAGTTCATTAAGCAATCAAATGGTTGACATTAAGTTCATTAAGCAATCAACTGGTTGACATTAAGTTCATTAAGCAATCAAATGGTTGACAATTATTGTCAATCTTGTCGAAATCTACCAATGGAGAGAAAAAAAAGTTATGCATTTTCAACAATGAAAAGACTGCTTTGGCAGAATTTTACGAAAAAATGCAAAAAACAAAAAAAACTAAACGATGTATAACGCGAATCTTTCCTGATTTTCATCAGATTAAAAAAAAGGAGAGACGAAGAAAGAGAGAGGGGAGAGAGGGAGAGAGAAGGAGGGTGACATATGAAATTGCTGTATCTTCCCGCAATGCCTTCAAAGAAATTGGAGTGATGAAAATGGGTGAGTGAGTCATCATTAGATATCACGAATACCCAAAACAGAGATACACACACACACACACACACACACAGACACACACACACACACACACACACACCACACCAAATACGCACACATACACCATTTTTGACACCAACTGACCATAACAAGATGTCGCAGAAATGGGTGACAAGTAGGTGTTATCACCTATGTGAACGTTGATTACTTGTAACTATTTCAAGTTGGTAGGTTTTCTGAATCCTTTTGCTGAGGATTCAGATGAAGAAGTTGATTCGCATTAGGTAAGACAAAGTTAAGTTAACAGATGAATAATTTCTTGTTAGTATTTGGTTATTTAAATCTGGATTAAAAGAAAAAACTTGATTGAACAGGCAGATCAATCTTATCAGCAATATTCCAATCGGGTTAAGTATCGTATGCGATGAACAGTTGAAAATAGAATTACACATCAGAGTAGTGTGACAATCATCAAGGAAAGGACAAACAGAAGAATATATGGTGACATGTGCCAAATTTATGATGGAAATGATTGCATGTCAAGATTTCTTTCTATGATAATTATATTTATCATTTACTGAAACCAATATTTGCTATAGTTGAATGAAGTATTATACCAAATGAAGAGTAACTATTGTTGAGATTTAAAAGTTAATTAAAATTCTTAGAATAAATGTTTTCAAAATATAATACAATAAGTGGATGATTTGAAAATTCTACCCAACATTTTTATATATGGCAAATATCCTATCTAATCATTAATGATTTAAAACAATGAAAACAAATTTTTTATTTCTTTGAAAGTATGTCACAAAAAGTGTAATGACTTTCAATTATTAATTTCTTTTTTTCCAAGTAGTAATAATTCCACAAGTCATACGAATAAAAACTGCGTTATAATTTTCCTGACGTGACATGCAATATGAAATTAATGAAATCTAGAGTTGCAAGAGAGAAATTAACCTGGAAAAGACGATTTATCAAAATTTTATGACTTTATTACTTGGAGACAATCACTTATTGTTCAGAGTATTTGAAATCGCAAAATAAGAATTCAAAATAATACGGTTAGTTTGCTTGTCACATACACATACCCTCGTCATAAATTAACATACTTCGCGATTTTCGCTGTGTAAACATTTCATTCTTTTGGCATGAAATAAAATCTTGGATTTTTTAAAACTAATTTTAAAAATAAGGAACTGGTAATGAGTCAGCTATTGGAAGTTCATAGGTTCACCATGGTTGTCACCAACATCATCATCAACAATATCATCATTTCGTTATTCGATCTATATTAATCAGTAATATCAATTGTTCATTCAATAATTTCAATCTCAACCACGAAATTCACTCCGTAATTTAAGATAGTGATGTTACAGAAGTCGAATCTTACCTGGTACAATTACCTGTTTGGCATTCACTTTCAATGATCTAATAAACTGAGAAAATCTAGATGTGTTACAGACCAATCTTGCAAGATTGGAACATATGAAGGAAAGAAGATGTCATTTTCCTTACAGAAATTTTGAATTAACATTTTTCTTTCATTTCGATGTATCGTTGCCATTTTTTAAAATCTGAATTTTTGGTTTTCCTTTAGGAAAATTTTTCTTGGAAGAAATTTCGAAAATTTTAGTGAAATTTGAAAAAGTTCAAAATCGAAATAATATTAAAATTTTTCCTGCCATCTTGATTCTGCAAGTTTTGTTCTATAAAAGCCTGTCAATTTTAATTCATATTCAATTTACTTCTTCCTCATAGGGTGTTGTTTGCAAATGCAGCAGGATTCTGCATCTAATCTGAGCAAGTTACGAAATGCATATGATACTGATTTGGCAGCTATATCTGAAGTTGGTCCAATTATGAGAATTCAAATTCCTCTGAGTAAATTTACGTTACTTCACTTTTACATTTTAGATGGTTGATTCAGCACTAGCACACTTTTTCATGAAACAATTGTACAAACCGATGAATTTGGAGATACGGATTGTGCCGGAAATTCAGAATCGTCGTAATGTGACACTTATCATGGGAGACAAAGAATCTATGCACATTGAAGAAAATAAGGTCATTAACTTCATACACGCTTCCCATCTATGTCATAGTGGAAGATTGAAAATTCATAAGTTTCCAAATGCCAAGGTTCCGGAAGTTCTCAAAGTGAAACGAACTGTGTTATATCGAGTCATCTGAAACCTTAATTAACATAGATGTTTGTAGTATTTACAACCATGTGTATGTAAGCGTCAGCTTAACGAAGAAATTCGGAAACTTCGGTTACATATGGCCTTCGATGAAATACGGAAACGATGGCATCAGGTTTTCTAGTTTATCAGGAGAGTTAAATGCTAAAAATTTTACATTCACATCCATTTCAGCCAAGCAGAAAATTGGCTCTTTCGATGATTACAATGTCAGCTTTTTAGATCCTCTGAATGGCCCTTTTTCGACCAGTCATTTTCTGATTGACCGTTACGTAATTATACCAAATTTAAGTTATTGTTTGACTTGCAGTTTTATTCTTAAATTCTTATTGATTCATATCTGAATGGAACATGAAGAAGTCACAATATCGCCAGTTTTACAGGTACATTCGGGAGACACAAACACTAATTCGCCTTACAGACACGATCAACCCATGCATTTATACAGACCTAGCGCCGATAGTACTACATCGACCGCTAAACCGATAGCTACCGCTATCCGCAAAAGTGCGTCATTTTACGTCAACCCTATTCCATCCAACTATTCCACATTGCATCGATCTCGTTCATGCTAATAAATGGCTACGCTTTAAATACCGTCAAATATTATATTGAATTAGCTTTGATATATCTTTTACTGAACCATTTGTAAGGTCTTTTACGTGCGCTAAGCAATCACCAAGATAGAACTTGAAAACGTGAAGTTCCTCACGTTTACCATTCCCACTGTATATGCCTACAGGCTATATATGTTACAAATCATTCATTAACTGTTGGTTCAGGAAAGTCAAATCCCTATTGATCTTTGCTCCAAATGACTTCTAACGGAAGTTCGTTAATAGAAAGATGTCCAGTTCCAATTTCCTCTGATTTTATATTTTGTAATAACAGCATTAAATTGCCAGCAACAATGTTAGCAATCTTTTCATTGAATGCAGCAAAATTGAAAGTGTTAAGCTTCCTCATTTGCATCTATTCATCCGCAACAATTGATATGACATG